ATTTTGCCTCTTCCATGTTATCGTCAAACCCCAAACTGCTAACCGCCGCCCAATGCCATGAAATACTGATCGTTGCTGTAAGGAGACCAGCTATCCATGACTGGATAAACACCGATAACAGCGTCCTGCTAATTATCAATATATGAGTAAACATAATTTGAAATTTTGACAAAAAAACCTGCCTTATGGATTCATTAATAAAGAGGAAAATCGGAGGCAAAAGAAGTGTTGCCTGGAATAACGAGAGAAAAATGGGTAGAACTTTATGCATTACTTCATATGGACTTGTATACAGAACATGCAGCAATAAAAAGGTACAATGACTAGCGTGCACTGGTACATGCTCTCGAGCTCTTTTTGTGGCAGTCAATACGATTATCTTTGCATCATGTCAGAATTAGTACCTTTATCAAACTTCTAAGGTAAATTTTTGTCGAAGGTAGTTTAGGTAGTGCACCTTTTATACCCCTAGTCCCAGCATTTCGTCCTACACAAACAGTGGTTATAGAGATCTTAGAGGTGATGAAATAAGATAGGCAGTGGAGGAAATTTGTAGAAGTAAGTGGAAAATAGAAAAATATAGTTGAATTTGAACGAGGTAAAGATCACTAGATTAGCAGAATTTAATTACGTCATAAAATTTCGTGACCTCTCATTCAGCTTCAGAAGGTCGTTGCCTATAAATAAGAGGATTAACTGCGGAGGCCGCTGCAATACAGAAAAGAAAACAGTTGGATCATGTGATCAACCTCGCATTGCCGTGGTAACGATCGATAAACTCATCCCCACTTACGCCTCCATGTCACCCTTAGGACTGACTGCTACCCTGTCCCCTGCACTATATTTTTTAAAAGAAAGCAAATTTTATTTAATCAGAGTATATAGCATTAAATTCACAGATTTTATTTCAAGGGTGTTTTACAAGAATATCATATACTGACAGACCTCCCTGGTTTTTTAATCAAAAAATAATTGAAATGCATTACATTTGGATGCTGATCCCTGAATTGTTGCATTCGGAAATATACCAGGGTGGGGGAAAAGACGATAAGCTTCCGGATAGAGAGGATGGTTATTGCAATTAATCAATACCCGCGATGCAACATGCATAGTATCTGATGTAGGTGCAGAATTGTATTAAAATGGAACAGTTATTTTGGTAACCAAAGGCTGGGAGAAGAATTTATCGGCAAGGAAACTAAACATATGTTATTTCTGAAAAAGTACGTTAATTTTTGTCACAACCACAGAAGTCGTCGATCTGTGTGAAACTATCCCACAGACTCTCCCCAACTAACAGTTTTCTTTGAGTCAGAAATTCAGATCACATACGAGCTGCAGTAATTAAGATAACTCACTCTGGGGATGTCCTGATATTCGGCCAGTAACTCGACCCATGCCTTACGGTCCACCTCACCCTGAAAGGCAAGTCGGTCAGAATCGGGGAAATTGCGGTTGAGGTCCACATTATTGGCATTAGTTCGACCGCTGAGTTCGTTCTTTCCCTAAATCGATAAATTGTGTGATATTCTTCTAAGTGTTCAATTTCCTTACCGTTTCTTCAACCAGTTCGTATCCGTCTGGATTCATTGAAGGTAACAGATGAATCCGGGTATGTTGAAGAAGCCAACTAACAAGGCCGTCGCCCTCAGTGTACTTGTCGCACAAGTACTTGGCAAGACGAAGAAGAAGTTCGCGCCCCACTACCTCATTGCCGTGCATATTTGCCACTAGTTTCACCTCGGGGATAACTAAAATATTTAAATTTATTAGGTTAGTTTGCAAAATAGTGCATATTATTTTGAAAGTTAATGCATTCCTTCGAGAGACATTGATTGCATTTGACAGAATGAAGCGGAAGTACAAGAGTTATTCTAAGAATTAACTTAAAGACGGCAGGTAATTACATGTGAATTCGTTTGTGCTCTAATATCATCAATTGCCATTGGAAAATCAATGTTTAACCGTGTTGGTTGGGTTGAGCAGCTCTAAAACGACATGTGACATATGGTCACAAATACATGATGTTCAAACATTCCCGAAGCACCGGTAGAAATCCTTTAAAGTGCATTCAAACATAGAGGCTGCAACGATAGGTAACATTCGATTAGGTCGCAATTTAAGGATACGTAGCAGAATGCTGGCTTATGAAGTGACATTTTCCTGCCATCCTATTAATATAGACACTAGGTTCTGCTACAGTTGGATGCGTGTACTGAACATTATTCATAGAAGGGGTGCATAACTCTTTGAAATATCATGTCCATTTTTTTGGATAAATGTGCCTGCCAATTAACAGAATGGTACTTTGAGTCAGAAGGCATTTCCGTTAAAACAGATTTGTTGGTCATGGACGCTGAGATAGGCAAAAGTGGAACAAATTATTGCCACATGACAAAATGACAAAAGTTTACATTTACACTGGGTCTTGATGTAGATGGTCAGCGGGCTCTTATAAAAGTTCAAAGATCACAAACGACTATGTCCACCGTGTTTCTTAAGGACGGTGAATAAGTTCGTCAGTGCATCTGCCGCACTCTCTTCCCCCTGACTTTTAGGAAAACAGTGTCAGAAAAATCAGCGCCGTGGTTGGTAACGCTATATAACTCACTAACTAACAAAAACGAAGAAGCCCTTTAATAACGAAAGAGACTCTATAACGGTAGATTCCGACATATTGGCCGTAAGCGGAAATAAATTCCTTTGGACATATTCAAGCTCTGAATCCCTGCGAGAATGGATTTGAAAAAGTGCTAGATTATTTTGCTGTTACGGCTTGATATACAAATATTCGTTGTGAGGGACTTAAAATACAACATGATGACAGTGGATATTCAACCCGATGCTTACGTGAAAACGTACTATTAATGTTCTTGGCTTCATTATTTTCCTTTTTTAAATAGGTAAAAAATCAATATATATTAACGGTAAAAACTAGAATAAACTATGTTTTACCAATTGGTGAACAAAGGAGAATCTTGAAGTCTGTTCTACTGTGAATTTTACACAGAATCAAAATATTGTTTAACTTTGTCATGAATGCATGAGAAAAAGGTATCATCAAGCTACAGAAGATTATAATATAATATGAAGTAACCGTAAAACTAGGAAGTAATGTGTAGGTTATTGTGGCGGTGAAGGATGGAATATGATCAAACGTTAAACGTAGTGGAATGCTTAAAACTGTTCGGCTGAACAATTGGGTACTTTAGTGGTCATTTGTCCCCACAATCACCACTTTTTGGTATTCCTATTTTGAATGCCACACAACCTTCACTTTTGGACGAAAGTAGTAGTAGCGTGATTAGTTTTTGCGTTCGAAGCCTCGTAAAGATCTGTGAATTGATAAATATTTGTTGTATCCAGAATTAATGCACGGAAACCTTGATGGTATTTAAAAAACTTCAAAAGTATGTAAAAATTAATATAGGGACAATGTAGTGTCCCAACTAAGTAAAAAATCAGTTTTTACACAATTAGCTCTAAAGTGGCATCCAACTGCGAAAGCACAGGGTTAGTAGTTGCATATTTGTGGGCCTCTTTTTCCACAGTCAACATGACAGTCTACAACCAACTAACTGTGGGTTGAAATCTCTGTAGTGTAACATCATTTGCTAACCAGATGAAAAAAGTCGGTAAGGAAACTCCAGTTAACAAATTCCTTAGCATTCAGTTCATAGAAAAACAAGACGATCCTTTGTGCCGGGACATACATACGAATATTTAAGTAGTTATCGTTAAGTTCATATATTGCTTTCCGGTGTGCAGCTGTCTATAAATCTGGGCATTGGAATTTGTCTCAATTCTCAAGTAAAAAAGCGAAAGCAGCCCGACAGAGAAGAATATAAAAGTGAGTACAAATTTAGCCCATTTAATATACAACTTTATTTAAAAAGTCAGCAAAATCGAATTGTTAAAAGGCAACCTGTTAATTAATTAGTTTTTTTAAAAGAAACGGAAACAGTGATGGATACACGAAGTAAGACATTTTATATGGGGACGTCAAATGTTAGAGAAATAACGAACGTTACAGACTTTTTCCACCAAAATTCATCTCGTCAGATGTTCAAGCATAAGTGACATTAGCTAGCTGTGACTGACTAACGCCGCGGCTATAATGAACTCTCTGAAGCACTATAAAAAAGACGTTCAATAACCATGTACGTCAAACCGTAAAAATCGCGCATGGTGTGAATATAAAAGCGAATGTATCGCTCCAGATTAAGCCAGGTGGTTTCAATTTATTTATGTTCCAAAAGCTAAAAAATACTAACCTTCACCCTGCTACCAGTAAACCTCCAAATGCAAGGGAGACAGAAAAACCTGATACGATGTCCAACAGTCATGCACGTAGCTAAAACACTAGGAATTTTTCGGGCCAAATCGTGAATGAATTCCATCGAAAGTGTCATTAAAAGGTATTATTCACTGATTTTTGTATTAGATCAAAGTAAAGAAACACTTTATGTGTACTCCCCGCATGTCATCATCAACGCACACCATGAAATTATTACTGAGTTATAAAGCGCACTAATTTTATCACCTGAAGTCAGAAAAATATTTTTGTGCTGGATAATTAGTTTCTCGTGTACGCATTGGTGATACTGCTAATCCGTAAATGTTTCCAACAACTATTGCAGAAGAGCCGATCACAGACTTAAAAACAGTATTTTATGTCTCAGCAATAACGGTCGATCTCGCACAATACACATGCTTGCTGTATGCAACAAAGCGACAGAAGCGTCAACAAAATTTCCAGCTTACTGCATTTTTATGTACGTAACAAATGAAAAATATCGAATAATTTTTTTCAAGAGGTTCATCATAATTTTGCAAATTACTGATCCAAATAGCACTTTAATTTAGAATGACCTGCCTAAATTTTAAATATTCAGACCAAATTTTATTTTGGAAAATGAGAAGTATCAGAAAACCTGTGCAATTAGGCATTTTCCTCTTTTTACTCGCGTAAATGTGATTCTTCGGTGACTAGTTAGGAAATCATATTGGCAAAAGACACTGTCATGGAAATTTTAAGCATGCTCTAGAAAGCATTGCAGATTTTACTCTCATTTATATACAAAAAAAACAATTGCAAAAATATGTGTAAGTATATCACCCCAAATGAAATCACAAATACGGAATATTCCTAGAAGTTATGTTATCCACGGCTTAAGATGAAAACAACTACTAATGATACAAAAATTTCCACAGAAACTGGCGTTAAACTGCCTGAAATTTGAAATAACAATTTTATTTCAATAATTAAATTAACATGGTTGAGATACATTTGTAAACGTCGTCTCAAACGATACCATAAATGTTTTAATAACGTTCGCTATACATGTAGGGACAAGATTTGCAAAACTCACGAGGGACATGCTTTTCTGGATTTCCCCCAATCGCGAGAACAAACAACCTATTTCCGAGTTTTGTACTTTCAAGATCGCCAGCAGTCAGGTAATACAACTTGGATATATTTCTGCATTTATGATGTACAGATTTCAGTATTTCAAAAAGCTCGTAATTGTTATGATGTTCGTCCCACGTTATGTTTTTTTCAGTACACGAATAGACGACCAATAATAGTACAACCACGAACACCTTCATTTTTTGAAAATGTAGCAATAAACTAATGATGTTATTAAAATCATTTTTATAAGTTTAAACGTTTTGGAATTTACATAGATATTCCTGAAAAGAAAGAAGATCTTCGGAAAATCGAGTTGTACTCGTGAATTTTCGA